GTTATTTTGATAGGAGTACTCGCCATCCATATGTGAAAAAACGAACGGATTAAATGTATTACATTATCTTCCGAGCCAAAAAAAATTATGGCACGACACTGATGCTTAAATACAGCTTGTCTATTCAAATTTTCTTAGTTATGTTATCGGATTTCAGTAAACTGAATAGATTGACCCTAATTTAGAGAAGCTAAAACCAATTCCCAATGGTAATCAGAATGGGGAGTGGGTGTCTTCCACCTGGTTTATCCCCAACAGTGACCGGTAACTGTTGTGTATTTAGTTAATGATAAAAGTCGATGGTATTATGCAAGCAATGCATATTTATTCAATTTCTTGTGGAGAAGGAAAACGCATCGTATTAAAAATGACACTATGCTTGTTATGATTTTACAAGGCCGTGTGAGCAGCATAAATCTTGAACTGTAGAAGAAAGCCTTACAATTATTGTGGATAAACAGAATAAATCTCAAGCACATTCAATATCAATAGTTACAATATACATTTTTACAAATAAAAAAAATCACATCAATCCACATCAAAAATATGCCCAGCAAAGGGATACACAAAAATATCTTTGTTTATTTCACCAGGCCTGCAGGAAAGAGTGTTTACAAACATTTCTACGTGGCAAATGTGGATGTGAAAATGCCATATCAAAAAACGGTTATAAGAAGTGTAATATGTTGAACAAAACGCAAGGTGAGAGGCTGGGCTATTCTGCGTGCGTTTGTCTGTATGTTCGTGTGGATGTGTGCATGCACTTGGATTGCTATATGTTGCGGGGGGAAATGCAGATATATAGCAACATAATAAATGTCAATCCTGACGATTGAAGTTCTGAAACTTTCCGACGTTGTTAAATGTTCCATCTCACAGTATACAGTGGCTATACTCTAATCCAAATCACAGCCACAAATTGAAGTCAAGTTTAGTAAAGGGGAAGGCATGATTGTGTATTATTATTCATATTATCATTGTCGACTCTGTCATGTAACACATCCTGAATGATAACTATTGTTTTCATGTGAAGATTTTTTCACACCAAGGTTTTAGCCAGTACTTTTTGTGTGTTTAGATATATTATTACATTGTTTCGTTACTTTCATTCTCTCTATTGTCATGCATCGTTAGTATGTATCCATCCACCCTTTTGTTATTTAATGAAGATTCTTATTTCGAAGGTTGTAATAGTTATGCTTACGTTTGTAATACGTCACATTTTTATATCGTGTATTATATTATTAGTGAGGAAAAATATTTGTTTATGTGGAAGCACGAGTAATTGACCTACAGCAAACACAAATGCAGATAACATTTCATTGTTTCTACTTTCATTAGATTTGTGCCACCAAATGATAAGATATTTACATAATCATGGTAAACTAACATGTAACTGTCCTGAGCCGTGCAGGTAAAATGACTTCATGTTATTCAATATATATTTATTCAATATACGCACCTTGGTAAGTAAAATAAATTATTGGGCAATGGCATGAAAACATGACAAACGAATATACTAGCTCAACTAAGTGTTGTGTATTTTTCAGTCGATACAGCTACAGCATGACTACGTCCCTGGCAGTTTGGCCATCAGATGGCTACTCTGTAAGTATAGCAGTCATGTCATATGATAATGAGACGCATACTTAAATGAATAAGTGTATTGATCAGCGTGTGCATACATTATTGGTTAGTTCATTAAAACATGTTCTGTTTGGGGACGGGAACTGCACGTCGTAATTTTAGCCGAGGATACAATGCTACGTTTATACTCTACACATACAGGTAGTACAGTGAAATATTTGTACCATTGTTAGCATACATACACCAACAATGAAATATGAGAGACAACTAAAATCCCAAACAACCAAAAGCGCTATTCATGCGACATAATAATATATCTGATTAGGTACAGATCCTTCACAATTTAAGCACACTAAGTTTTTACTATGCAATCATATAGTGTTTAATTTATCAGTGCAGATAGTGTTCACTTTACATACACTTTATATTTCTGCTAGTGCGAACATGCATATTTCCTCATAGTTATTTGCATTATAAGATGGCAATTACATTGTTGGCAACGTTTTGAATTATGTATACTCTTTGTTCATTTTCTTCTTACAGGAACGCCTGTTACATTTGTTGCATGTAATGAATAACAAAACCAAGGCTATTAAAACATCGACACTGAGGTAATATGTTTGTATGATATCATACTGATTTTAACAAAACCTGTCATTGGATCTTGCCAATAATGCAATGCATTGTACTAGTAACACATATATTCCTGTAGCTCTTTATTTGTATTTGCCCAACAGGGGAAACATCGCCCTTGTCCAAGTGTACATTGACAGTTTACATATTGAGACAGTATCTCAAGAAAAAGCATATGATGTAAGTAATGTATCTCGTCTGTTCCAATATAAATACTAGAATGCATGTATCATATTCAAACGCTTTATTAGAGTTATTCCTACAGCACTTAATATTAAAAATATTACAATGCTCATTTTTAGATGTTTGACTTGTTTGCTGACATTGGTGGCGCCCTTGGACTATGGATTGGAATGTCAGCTGTAACTCTGCTCGAAGTAACTGAACTCATTTTTGGCATCTTAAAAATTTTATGTACTTAAATTAGCTTGAATATCAAGACTTTATCGCTCTAATATTACGTCACACCAGTAGCACATTGTTCATTGTTGATGCCCTGAATTTGTCATTAATGTTTGCCATGTTTATATGTTCTTGAACTTTAATAACAAATGATTGAAATTATTCACTTCGTACCCTCAAAAACTACCACGATGTGTGAAGATTTAGAGGTCATGCATACTGTATTTTAACGATTACGATCAAGGGGTTAAATTCTTTTTACTAGTCATTCCATATACTGATCTGATCAGCTAGATCCAAATCGACTTGCTTTACCCTACTTTGTACTTATTATATTATATTGTATTATATAAGTTAATAAAACATGGTTACAGCAACGCAGTTATTATTTCAGATAATGTTAACAATAACATATCATATATGTGGTCATTATAATAATATTCTGTCATATTAGCATTTCTGTGTAAGTAATGACGTTATGGAATATGCATTAAAATGGTCTGCGAACATTACCAACTTTTACTGAGTATTGTGTCATATTATTTTTGGTTATTCCTACATTCTCACAAGTAAGGAATTTACGCTATAATGAAACATGGTTTTACATTTTTTTCATATCTATGTATAATTTATTGTTCTTATTTACCCGTTTTCATTTTTACAAAATTTAGAAGGTAGATTGGCAAAAATCTTGTTTCTATTAATATGCATATATGTTTTTCATATGTTAAATGACATGCAATTCCTTACTTTGTCTGCAATGGAGTGCGTATATCCCGCTCTATCAGTATATGTCACCATGTAACAAATTTGTAGCAATTCATGAAGGCCTGATCCAAATGGTATAAATGACTTTGAAACCAACAAAGATTATCTATCTATGGATGATTTGTCATAATTATTCACCGATTACACAACACGATGGATCTTGTGCCAAACCCTGCTTGCCAGGGATTGATTATTAGCGGAGTTCTTGTTCATGTCATACTCTGTGTGGTTACATCTGTAAATCGTAGGCTAGTTGACGACACGCGCCACGCCAACTCATAATTTCATATTATTCATAATTGGATCAAGTGACTAAAGTTCCGCCCTCTAGCAAATAAAATGTCATCATATGGCGCGATATTTAAACTGGTACCGTTCCTAGAAATTATACTTCAAACTATTTTCATTACTAGAGGGCATAATTTCAACTGGTACCATGACAAGATGAATTGGTACCGTCAAGAGAGTTTACTTC